ATATCCATTTTCTCCATATCTCTTCAACAGTCAAAGGGTCCTCGATCCAAAGTACACATGAATTCGGGATACAGAAATTTAACGTTCTCTTCAAAAAAGTAAGATACTTCGAAGTGTGTTAAGAAGCCAAGAAAAAGCTTATGCCTTAGTTTGAAGTAAAATTGAACAGATCACGTCGCTTTCACCTACTTTTCGTTTGTCCTACGTAGGAATGGAACTATTGATAGAAATTTCCTTTTCCCTTCTACTTTAGTTTATTTTTTACAAGATCCTGCAAATTAGCCTTTTGTCAGTGTAATGCGGTTTGCTACCCATGTTTAACCAAATTGAGTCGATGGTTCACAAAGGGCATGTAAGTTACGAAGACTGCGATCTTGTTACAAGAGCAGGAAGGGTGCAGTGATGAGGGCTTTTTATTTAACTGTGTTCCAACTTTGATTCCCTGGGGTTCCTTCCTTGTTGCAATTCTATCCAATCCCTTTTTTTTTTATTTCAATAACCAAAATTCCGAGTTCCAATTCGACCTAGAAACAGGAGGCTAGGTGCCACCTCACGGGTAATTAGCACTGCTGGCTATCCGCTTTCATTTGAATCTAAGTAGATTTAAGTTGGCAGAGAGGAAAGAATTAAGATTACAACGTTGTGCTTTTAACTCTTACAGGCCCACTGATCAGAAGCAGAAGTGGCGTGGAAGATGACGGCAGTAAGCCCATATTTCAGTTGGGGGACTTACAGTTATCCTTCTTTTGGAATGATTTGTCACAATTTTTAAATGATTTTACGAAAACAGAATCACGATTTTACTATTTGATCGACAAGTGTTTATGCTAAATTCCAATCACTATTTTTGTAAACTCTTCCATGTATATTTAATTGAAATTAGATTCAAGGAGAAACCAGATTTTAAAGCTGATTGGCCTTGCATGATAACATTTAAATAGACTAGAATTATACAAGCGATTTAAGAAAGTTGATTTAACCATTCTTGTTAATTTGAGAAGGAAATTTTCTCACGATTGTAGAAATCCTCAGTTGTATTAAACAGCACTACAATGGACCTGTCAAATCGAGTGCTTGGTAGACTGGGGAGAGAGGCGTAATTACATCACAGCTACTCGCGCTATACTTAGTCACTTGCAGTGCGGTTGCTGTAAATTTAACAAATCGATAGACATTTTTGCCACTGTGACAACCACAACATTTTGACCACTGTGACGACTCCAACATTTTCACCACTGTAATGACGAATGTCGTAGTCAATAAGGAAACAGACAACGCTAAACCACTGTCGATTTGTTAATGATACGAGTCGGGGAGAGTTTTGCCAGGGGTAGGGCTCATCATAGCAAGGCCCCTTGCAACACCTTTGTCGGCTCTTGTTGCTCAAGGCCTCATACCTCCTCTACTTAAGAAACGGTGTCGCCGAACCGCTTGTAATAAGGACCTGATCACAGGTTAGGTGAAAGATAACGACGAGAAACCATCTATTTTGGTCACAAGCAATTCATGCATTAGAAAGTATTGAAAGTTTCTTCCAAGTATTTTTTGTCTTGTTTTAATATTAATAATGATAGTAATAATAATAATAATAGTGATAATGATAATAATAATAATAATAATAATAATAATAATAATAATAATAATAATAGGAGAGTAATAGAGGAGAAGGTGGAAAAGTACCAGGAACAAGCAAACGAAATCAGAAGGATCCATGGAGCCTCGAAAGTCACAATAATACCTATCGCGATTGGTGCTCTCGGAAGCGTATCGAAAAGATCAAAGGCCTGGTTTGGCAAGTTAGGTGTACCTGACTTCCTTGGAAGTGTTGAATTATCGGCCATCCTTGGAACTGCTAATCTGTTGCGAAAAGTGTTGTGCCTCTGAGCTACGGGAGGTAGTTGAGACACAACGTTTCCCAGTGGATCACCCGACAATTGGAGAGAATTAAAATAATAATTTAATATTTATATTGCGCAAATTAACATTTGAATATGATCGAATACGCATCACAACACTTTTGGGGGGACTTTGGCCGGATTGCATCCGCAGTTTAAAATCAATCGAAGGAAACTTATTTCGAGATACCCCCTTCCCCCCCAATTCCCAGTAAACAGTCCAGACCACATCACAGTAATCTCGTGAGCGGGTTCTTTAACGTCCCCTGCCTAACCAAATTAACTAATTAACAGATGCAGGAGACAAGTAGCAAATTTGAAATTAATTGGCACGGGTTGTGAAAACACCATATCTCAATCGTGCTCTGACACCAAGATACTCTTAATCGTAAGATTGTTTTATGTGATATCTATAAGGCCGTCAAGCGTTGAAGGAAAAAAATATAAGAAATTAAGCCTAAGATTTATTTTGCGCAAGGAAGAAAATTCTTTGTTAAGGTTGTGGTTCTCTCAGCGTATCAATTTCTTCTTGGCTTAAATGGGGTTGGCTCTCGAGTTATCATCAGCCCGGAATGAGAGAGAGCTCAGTTTATTATCTCTTGCCTGGTAATAACTTTTTTAAGGTATTGAGGTGTTGTTATTAAGAACAATGAAAAAAAAAAAAAAAACCTTTCACCTTTTCAGAGAAAATATATTTTATTCGCTTGTGAAAAGGTACACATTCGGAAAGGGATGTACCATTTTATTCATTCTTCTATAACGTTCAACAGCTATCATTTTTAGGCAAACAGGAAGTTATTAGAAAAAAAAGATAAAATACAGAAATTTGGTATTATCACGGAGATTCAAACTTGAGTGAATGACTCGAGTATTCCTTGTACTCGAGCTTGACTTCCAATTTTTTTTTGTAGCTTTAAAAGTTACAATAACAATTTACACGAACTTTAAGGTCGATCGCCCTTAGGTCATTGTCGCATCTACTCTTCTAACTAAAATAAGAAAACCGAGAACACCAGAAGTATTAAAGTATAATTAACAACTTAAGAGAAGCTAAGAGATTAATTCCTCCGAAAACCCCAAAACCCGTGACTTTACCTTTTACAGGAGCACTCTTACGAAACCGCCCTATAATTTGAAAACCCGAAAAACTCCGTTATTTCATTACAATATGAACTTTTAGCGATTAATTAAGCCTTTTCAATAATACTCTTAGTTGAAAGTAAATTCTAGGGCGGGAAATTACGATTTGAAAACCGTTCCGCCATTAATTTTCGTAATCACTTGCCAGACTCAAGAAGACAGGTGCGAGTTTGGAGCGTGACGTAGATCACTCATTTGACGCGCCGTGCTCGTGGCCAATTTCCAAAAACAGTATTTTGATCGTACGTATTGCTTTTATAACACTAAGACTATTTCACTAAATTTCACGAGGTTTTTGGTGCCCTCGACTCCGGATCGAGTGGTCCGGGTTCAAGCCCCGGCCGGGAAATTGTGCTGTTCTTAGGCAAGACACTTTACTCTCACAGTGCCTCTCCCACCCAAGTGTTTAAATGGGTACCGGCAATTTAATGCTGGGGGTAACCCTGCGATGGACTGGCATCCCATCCAGGGGGGAGTAGAAATACTCCTTGTCGCCTCATGCTACAGAAACCGGAGTTAAGCACCAGGCTGATGGGCCACTAGGCTCGTAAACAGACTTTACCTTCTACCTAACCGCTTCCCGGTTAGCTCAATGGATAGAGCGTTGAACTGATGTGCAGGAGGTCGAGGGTTCGAGTCCCGGCCGGACCAACACTCGAGGTCTTAAAATAATTCAGAAGAATATGCTGTCTTTCTATAACATCAAGAAACAGTTAAGATATTCTAGTCCTCTCGGATAGGGACGAATAATTGGAGGTCCCTTCTCCTGCAGGGTTAGGGGTAGGAGACGTTAATTTCCCACGCACGAGATTACTGTGTGATGGATTTCCTCCCCTGGGGCGGGATGGGTGGGTTATTGTCCTGCGTGGGTTG